ATAACTATATCCTTGAACTAGGATTTTAATAAAAGCAATCTATTCTTTGGCTAAAAGACTGTTCCAACTTCCATCTCTTAGTACATCTCTTAATCCATGAAATTTTCAAGTTAGTTCAAAGGCTAGGTGATAGAAAAAAGAAGTTGAGAAAAAAAAGTTGCGGAGAATAGTCCAGAGACAGAAGAAGTGCAGTTGAAAGCAAGGCAGCTGGAAACTATACCACCAGAGAACCAGAATGAGCTGCAAAAATAGTTTTTTTGCTAGGATTTGAGCTAAGTAGAAAAACCGTCTAGACAGGGCTTGAATATTTTCCCCCTTCATATATTCATGATGTAATTGCTCTTTTTGTTAACTTACAGATCCATTTCAAAATCTGTTTTTTTTTCTCCCGAAGTATGATGAAAATAATTATATAAATGCTGGATTTGTTTGCAAAGTAAACCAAAAGATACCTAAATACAGAAAAATGGTTTTACTAGGGATTAGCAGGAAAAATCAAGATCTGCAGAAAGTGGGTGGGTGAAAATGTCAAGAGGGTGGCCTTGGCCGCCTGGCTGAAGTCCTGCCCCTTTTTTGTGTACTCAGTGGATAACATAACAGAAGGCTTCAACTACAAGGCTGCACCTAGCATCCTGACTTTTTTTGACTCCCGATGCCCCTGCAGCCTTGGTAATGGCGATGATGGCTACAAGAAGGGAAAGACAAACAGGATTGTTAGTTGCTTTCCTTTCAGCACTTCTTTCTTCTGGTGCCAAGTGTCTTATACTGTATATGCAAATTGGGTCTGGGCTACCTAGGGAGACCTCACTGCTCCCATCCCTAGCCCAGTAAGCAGCTCCTGGTGTTATGTCATGTAAGTCCAGTTGCTTTTAGATTGAGGTCCATGTGCACGCTGGCAAGCAGAGAATACATATGGTCACCGCTCAGTTCAGAAGAAAGCGATACAAATGTCTGTGAAGATGTCTGTCATTTTCAGTGCAATCCGAGGTTCCCCTCTTCAGAGCGGCCCTTTCATAAAATTACTGTTGCCACACGTAATAGTATTGATGTCAGCCAATGTATACCATTGTGGAACAACTAATTTTCTCTGGAATCTGGAAGAACCTTTGCTGAGACTATTCAGCTCTAACCCAATGGGCCTCTTTATTAAGAGACATTTTTCTGCTATAATTCACTGTGACATGTCCCTTTAATCATAGATTTCTGAATTTAGTTCTTCTCTAATTTGTACCTAGTGATTCACTGAGTTCATTATGTAATGGGCCTTTGCTCCAAGAAGAAAGTCAGGCCCATCTATAGGCTACTTAAAAGAGAGATTTTACTCTGAGGGATTGGCAACAAGCAAAGCTGGAATCAATTTGTGGCCCTGACAAACTCTAATTACAAAGTCACGTTTGTGGCTGAGAATGTCATGTGGCAGAACTGAAGGAAGGAGTTTTAAAAAATAAATAAATAAATGCATGAATGGCTTGTTGTAATTGGCAGTTTTGGAATAAAACACTGCCAAATAAGATTATGGATCATCCCTATTACACTTTATTGCAATGATCTAGGCACTTTAAGTCCAAAGTTTTGGCATAATGTTTTTCTGAGTAAACTAGGAATTAGAGGCACACTGAGATAACTAATTTCTGTGGTGAGAGAGAAAGCTTGGAAAATAAAATAGCAGATTATTAGCAATGTCCCTGATGACAGGTAGCCAGACAAACCACAGGATGACTGGGAAGAGAAGCTATTTCAGGAGAATGGTATGTTGTGAGATGAGAAGAGAAGGGAAGGGAAGGGAAGGGAAGAGAAGAGAAGAGAAGAGAAGAGAAGAGAAGAGAAGAGAAGAGAAGAGAAGAG